CCATCGACTGGGACCTAGAATACTTGTGCCCAGAACAAAAAGATAAGGCACATAAAGTTTTAAAACAGGTTAAGGAAAAGGGGTGAATTGCTAGGGTGCATTTCTGTGAGAAGAGAAAACATTTGTACAATTATCCTAGCACTTACTGTATAATGGGCACTAGGGGGCAGCAGAGGTTGGGTAATGGGCACTAGGGCAGAGGGTGGGGGCAGAGAAGGGGCAAGCGATGGTCACTCATGATGTCAATCACACTTTGGTTTTTCGGGTCCTACAGCCTTCGACTGTCTTGTTTGCACAGAGCCGTGTATCCCCCGTTGCCAAAGGCATCCCCGGCCTGAGAACCGCTTGGAACATTAATTAAAGCCAAGGGGACTAATTACGTCGATGGTGCGACTCTTTGTTACAGCCAGGGGAAAAGTTCTTTGTTTTGCTCAGGTCTGTGCCCTGTGTGGGGGGGGCCCAGGCAGGAGCCAGGCCTGGGCCGGGCCTGGCCCTCGGTCAATTTCTGTCCCACACAGCTCACCTGGGCTCGGTTTGCGAAGAGGCGGAGGGCTCGGGGCTCCAGGAGAGATGAAGTCTCCAGGGCTGCTGGGAGTCAGACCAAAGATTCAATCGTTGGCCGGGGGAGAAGGACACAAACTGTTCCCTGCGGGGGCAGAACCGGCCCCTCCTGGGCTCCGGCAGAGCCATTCCCTGCAGAGCAACAAGGATGACACAGTGGCCTGCAAGCTCCCACTTAACAGCATGTCCCTGCTGAGTTTAGTGTATTTTGTGACTATGGGAAAAAAGGGGACACTCCCGTCTCCGGTTCTGGGGCATCCAGAGATTGTGTTTGTTTGTCTTTCAGATTCACTGCTGCCAGGCCTGCGCTTGTTCCCCCTCAGACAGTCACACCTCAGCGGGGTGTTCAATAGCGTCAGTCAGACATTTTAATGACAAAAGTGACCTCTAGGCCATCTCCTCTGACGTCCTCTGCCTCACGTTGTCTTCAGTTCCATCTCCCAGGCCCACCGAGCGCCTGGGCCGCCCATCGAACCCAACCCCAGTGAGAAATGGACGGGGCGGTGCCCGGAGCCGACCACTGACGCAGAGACAGCTCTGGAATGCAGAATGGAGAAAGTCATTCCCCTCTGGGAACAGCTGAGACAGCCTGTGCCAAATAGAAACTCTGTGTGTGCGTGTGTGTAGAGAGAAACCAGTGTGTGTGTGTGTGTGTGTGTGTGTGTGTGTGTGTG